CCTTCAGATGAGGAACTGATCCTCTGGGGTGAGGACGGAATCCCACAGCACAGGCAAGACACAGCCCTGACCACAGGAGTGCTCCTGATTCCAGCTGTGCAAACATCCCAGGGCTTTTGTCTTCTAAAGACGCAAAAAAAGAAACTGTAAGGGGTTTTATTTCCGGTTTTGACAGCATAGGGGGATAGGAGGTAAAACGCCTCATAACGTGGGTTTTATTAGTTTGAAGACTCCAAATGAATAAGAAAATGAAGCTAAATTTCATTTTTAAATGTCACTTAGTTTGCCGTGAGAGTGCTAGGGGTCCCTGAAATAGTCTATCTGCCTTCAGTGGGTTCCTCTTACAAATGAGGAGATTTGTGTCCTGAGAGATCAGGTAACGCCTCCAGGCGGAGCCGCACACCTGGGCCTCTGGGTGCCCAGGGCTCTTTTGATTACCCAGGGGTTGAAAATAAAAGTGAAGACCATGCTCCTCACACTGCGCCACTGGGAAAGACGCGGGTGCTGATGCCAGTGATGGAGATGTGAATTAGCCACTGTTAGTGTTGTCTTGGGAAAGCATTGCTTAGTAATTGTAGTAAATAACACTTTGAAAACTCTTTTGTTGAGGGAATATCTCCACCATCTGCCCACCCTCATCTGCCTATCCCCATCCCCCTCCAAAGGGCGTTCAGAATTTGGGAAAGGACCTAGTCAAATAGGGTAGAAAATGGGAAAAAAGACCAAGAACAAAAAATCAGTATTTTAATGAAAATACGCGGACAAAAGTTCTTGATATTATAAAAACTCTGGTTTTGTGTGTAAAAATAGTAACTGAGAACAATTAGACATAGAAAATCCCTCACTTTCATGTGATGCTTTAATTACTCCCAGGAGAACATTATTAATTATTTAAAGGGCCTGTGAGTCATTAATTATCCTTCCCTGTTCATTTCTAAGCAAACTTTTAAACTTAGTCTCATTCGCCAATTTACTCTTCAATTAGATTTCTATTTCTGCTTCATATGCAGCTAAAAATAGTTCCCTATTTTGTTCCTTTAATGTTTGTTTTCTTCTCTTCCCCCTAAAAAGCAAGCCACTTGGAAAGGTGACAGGGCTGTCAAACCAGACTCCGCTTCTCTCTGAACATCCAGGACCCTCTGGCCTGGAATCATGGGCCTCTACGCCCTGCAGGGTCTCCCTTCACTCCCGGGACCCTCCTTTCACCCTTTCTCCCCTTCCTCATGCTCCCTGGACCCCCCACACCCTCAGAATTTTGGCACATGACAAATGAGTGACTGATGCTGCAGATGATGGCTACAGAGGCTCAGCTGACAGATTTCTCCCTCCTCTCACCAGGCCCCACCCGGGCCTCGCCTCTCAAAAAAGAAAGTTCTGGTTTACCAATTCATGCACAAGTGTTAGCAATTTAACACCTTTTGCTTCTCCTTTGAAAGGGAATCGGAGAGAAGAGCACAACCCAGAAAACGAGGAGGCCCTGGCAGAGGGGCGGGGTCTGGAGGGCAGCCCTGCTGACCTGCTCCCAGCCTGTGGAGCAAAGCGTGAGCTCTGGGCTGGGCTCGAGGGGAAGTGCTCAGGAGCGGCCTGCTGTCCTGGCAGCCGCTGGCTGAAGCCTCCCAGACTGGAGTGAGTGTAACCAGGAGTCACTCACACATCTGCCCACTTGCTCGTCCACAAACAGGAAACTATGTGCAAATCCCCAATGCTGAGCAGTCAGTGGAGGGGCAGATATCAAATAATTTCTCTAAATATTGTATCATATTATATTAATTATTTTAAGACCTGAATGGTTCTCCAAGAAAATGGCAACACCTCCTTGTAAAGGGGAGTTTAGAGAACTCTGAGTCTGGCTGGTCTGAGAAATTGGAAGATGGCAACAGTCAGGGCTCCAGGAGAGGAGAAAGACACACCTCCTGGAAGAACTGGTCACAATCAGAGGGCAGAGGCTGGCAGCCTGCCTCTGTGAGTCCCACCATCCTGGAGTGGGAGAGGGGGCCCGGCCAGGGTTGTGCCATGTGCTGCTGTGTCGCCAGCTCTTGGACAAGCCGTCCAAGGTGTTCTTCCAGCCCCTCCCAGACCCCTGAGATTCCTCCCCAAAATTCCACAGCTTGGAGTGAAAAAAGAGATTAAAGCCGATGATGTTTTCCAACATCCTAGGCTTTTTATTAAGAGGGTGAAGAAAGCAATGTTTTTAAGTCTAATATTTAGGTTTTAAAAGATACAAAAAGAGGCACACAGGCAAATGATGAGTTTCTTCACAGTACAAGCTAAAAACGGCCTGGCTGGGGCACACCTGAGGTCAGCGTCGTCCTCTGGAGTGCCCATCTCCTCTACCCAGGCAGATGTGGTCTCTAGAACCCAGAGTACACATCTGGATGTGGCAGAGACACCAGAAGGATCTCAGCGAATCGTGTTTCTGGGAAGCGTCGTTCCTCTTTTGGAAAAGCATGCAGTACTAGCGCCTTTTTAAAAGTGATTAAACGGGTACAGCTTTCACTCTGTTCTAATCATGAAGCCCCAAGGCTTCCCCCTGATGTGTCATTGGGTTCCAGGCTTCTGCTTCATGAGGAAAACACACAAATAGCTGCTCAGTTTCCACCAGTTTCTGCCAGAGATTTGATTCTCCCAACAGAGCTCAGCCTGGAAAAGCCAGGGCAGCTGCCAGTGTGGGAAGCAGCAGGGAAGTGGGTGACCTTGGAGGGACTGTCCAGGGGGCAGGAAGAGAAACTGAAAAGCAGCTCAGGGGGCCCAGCCCCTCCAGAATGCCCCAGGACAGAGGCAGGTGGAGGTGCAAGGGAAAGAAGGCATGGCAAAAAGAGACCTGGTTATGGGGAGAAGAGACCTTGGTGGGAGCAGGAGGCAGAACCCAGGCTTCTGCTGGGTGCATGAGCTCAGTCAGGGGTGGACCACGCCTGAGGCCCAGACCAAAGACCACAGCACCAGGAGTCAGGCACCAGCAGAGGCCAGGAAAGTGAGCCTTCTCTGCCCTGAGGACACAAGGGCTCTGGGAGGAGGAAATGTACACCATTCTGAAGGAGACAGCATTCACCCAACAGAGTTGGAGTGATCTTTGACACACACAAGTATGAGCCATCCCAGCGTCTGTGGGAATTCTGAGCAGGTTAGGAGCAGTCGGAACAGGAGGAGCCTCTTGTGGCGCATTCCGTTTTGCAGGGTGAACTTTACTCCCACTGTGTGTGCCTTCCACTGCATCAGAGCCTCCAGGATTGGCCCTGTCTCCCCCCTGCAACCCCCCTAAACTCCTGGCACAATCACTGCTCTCAGTTCTTCTCCCCAAGATGTCCCATCTGTGGGAAAGGCTCCGCACCCCACACTCGGCCACATACTCACACTCCCCTCACACACTCACACTCCCCTCCAATGCACAAGTAGCTCCAAGTTTATGGCTTTCCCAGGGTGGAACCAGGAGGGGAAGATTTGTTCATTGAAGGAACCCAGCGTCACAGGCTTTCTTCACAAGCCAAGCAGTCACCTAAGGCCCAGGTCTCCCTCTCCATCAGTTTCCCATTAAATACACATGGATGAAGCTGGAGAGATAACAGGTAGAGGACAGATGACAGGCAGATAGATCACAGACATGACAGATCCCAGATAAATGACAGATAGGCAGATGACAGATGACAGATAATAGATGATAGATCACAGACCATAGATAGGAAGATGATAGATGATGCAAAGGTACATGATACGTGGATAGATCATAGATAATGACAGGTAGAGGACAGATAATAAATAGGTAGGTGGTAGTAACAGACGTTAGACAGATGATAGGTAGATTGTAGGTGATTGGTACATGACGGATAGATCCCAGATAAATGACAGATGATAGACGATAAACAGGTAGATGAAAGGTTACAGCTAGATGATAAGTAGATGACAAATGATAGGCGAATAATAGATGATAGGTACATAATAGATGTATAGATGATAGATAATAGGTGACAGGTAGGTGATAGGTGATACGTAGATAATAGATTTTAAGTAGGTACATGATAGGTGCGTGATGGACAGATGATAGGCAGATGACAGCTGATGTGGATGATAAACATCGGGTGATAGAAAAATCGGTATCTGTGAATACGGGGGATCAGAGAGAAGCAAATAAGAACAACGAGGTCAATGTTAATGACTGAATCCAGATAAAGGGTAAAAGGAGTTTTTTGTACCGTTCTTATCCTTCTCATTTTTGTGTACGTCTGAAACTATTTCCAAATGAAAAAACAACACAAAATTAGCTTTCGTCTCTCATTTCCAGTGCCTTCCCCTTGCTGGGGAACGGCTGCTCTCCTGGGCTGGCCCTGCGGGCTCCTCGGGAGGCGGCCCCAGTGGCCCCGCGTAGGTCCCGCCCCGCGCTCCCCACCCGCCGCTGCGTGTGAGCGGAGAGTACGACTCCCCGCGCTGCAAACGTGGGGCGCAAACCAGCAGCCGAGCTGAGGTCGGGACCCCCCTGCCCCTCCGTCTGCGTTTTTCTGCAGCTTTCTATCCAACCTTACTTCCTCCGCCGAGGCTGTTCCCGGGTCCCCACCGAACCGCACTCTAATTTTCTCAGTTTTCAGACGTCTCAACCCTGTCCCACCGGCTACAAAGACAGCGCACCCACTGTGGACGGGTTTCTGGGCGCTTTCTCGGGCTCCTGCAGTTATTTAGCGAGGCAGGTGCAGGCAACCAGCGGCAAAGCCCTCGCTCCTTTCGAGCGCGCACACCTGGCCGGGTCCTCCCACGCCGCCCCGCGCGGCCGCTCTTCCCGGTTCTTTCCACCCCGGGCCGGGCGCGCACCGAGCATCCCCTTCCCCGCCCCTCCGCCCGCAGAACCGGGGAGGCGCCGCCCCGAGGGGAGCGCCGGGAGGGGACGGGGCGCAGGGCGGAGGTCTTGGGGGAGGAGGGAGGCGGGAGCGTGGAGGGGAGCGCGGGGCGGGGACAGAGCGCGGGGCGGGGCGGGGACCGGCGGGCGTGGCGCGCGCTCCAGCGCCGGGTGAGGGGCGGCCCACGCGCTCGGGAGTCCCGGCTGCAGCTGCGGGGCGCGCGCGGGCTTCTGCGGCTGGAGCCTGGGGTGCTGGGGGCCGCGGTCTCCGCGAACTCGGGGCCAGCCCATCCTGGAGGCGGCGGAGCCGCGGGGACTCGGGACGGAGGCTGCCGGCGCTGGGTGACCCCGGCAAGCTGAGCTCGGGATGCGGGCGCTGCTGCCGCCCGCGCTGCTGACCTGCTGGCTGCTCGCCCCCGTGAGTGCGCCTGCGATCCCCGCGCCCTGCACCCCAAGCCAGGGCTCCCCTTCTGAGAAGGGCGCTCCTCCCGCTGGGCTTCGCCTTCCTCCCAGGTCCTGGCGCGGGCGTGGGGACGCTGCCTGCCTGCCCGGGGTGCGGGGTCTGGGGTCCGGGAGAGGGAGTGGGGTCGCTTGGGGTCCGCTGAGCTCCGGCCCTGCCAGGCTGTGGGACCCGGGTTCGGAAGCTGCCTTCGCCTCTCCCTGCGCCCTGCATTTCGGGGTTTGCTGGACACGGGATCGTTTCTTCCTGGACGCGTCCACGATGAGCTCGTTCAGGGCCGTCCCGGGAGCTGGGAGCTTCGGTCACCTGCGCGTTTCGCGGGGATCGGGGTTGGCGTTGGCGGCAGATCCTCGGCCCCCTCCCTGTACTTACTGGTCTGTGTTTTAGTGTCTGGGGGACCTGGCGTTGGCTAGGGAAAGTTTCCTTTTGGAAATAGTTGCATTTTTCCCCAAGAGCACTGGAGGAAATAACTGCGCATAAGTTTGTTGAATGAGTGCCTTCACACCCGGCGTTCTGAATTACTCACTCTGTGAACCTTTACAAAAAAGAAAGAAAATCCGAGCCTTGTTTCTTGCGTTCCTCTCGGAGACCGCAGCGGCTTTGCAGTGCGCGCGGTTTTCCTGGCGTCGCGGCCAAGGTGGGTCTGGATGGACACGCGGCCCCTCTGCGGCTGGGGGGGGCCCTGCCGCCTCCAACAGGACGGGGTTGTTTCCGGGGACGCCCGGTGCTCAGCGGGGCACGAGCTGCACTCCCTGGCCTTGTGCAGAGGCGCAGCCAGGCTTTCCCACTCCAGGGTGGGCGCTTTACGGAGCGAGTCCTTATCATGGTGAATGCCGCTTTCATTGCTAAAATGTCCTAAGAAGAGTGATTGCTCTGCATTTTCCAGGAGCGTCAGGTATTGTAATGTCATTTATACCTTTACAGAGTTTTTTCTTTTTACATCCATATAATTTCCTTAATTCTGAAATTTCAGCCACTGACTTTCCCTGCATGAAAACAGAGGACCTGGAGCCCAGAGTCTGGCCTGGTGCTGCTTCAGTCATGAGCTAGAAGCAAGCTAGGCTTGCTCTTTTAAATGGGACCAAAGGCGGCAAAAGGTCCAACGTTGTTTTCCCCTTACTTCTTTAGGCAATTGTGTTTGTGGTTGGAAGTCTTACTGACCATTTCAGTAGTAAGGTAACTGGACATCCATGGCCATAATACACCCAAGAGTATACCCTCTTTAGTTACTGCTTTAGTACGAGTAGAATTTTGGTCGGTGCGGGGGAGGGGGAAGATCAAGACCAGAAGGATAGGTGGATAGAGCCCTTCTTAAGTCCCCAAGGCTGCTTGGCAGGCCCCGTGCTGAGTCGGGGTGGGCGTGAAATGCAAGCGTCTTGATCTTGGTAGAAACTGTGCCTTCTGAGAGGAACCGTTATGTAGTTCTGTCTTCTGGCTTTCACAGGCAGGTTAATTACCATCTTTGTAGCATTTTTCGCTCAGCTGATGGAGCCTGCCTGGAAATCGCCCCCTCTTCTTCCTGAGGCCACAATGGTGTGACTCCCCACCTCTCCCTCCCCCCTTATCTTGCTGATCTTGAATATCTCTTCCACAGCAAATTCTAGTCAAAATGACTGCAGTTTTATCTGTAGTTATAGGGTTAAGCTTTTAAAGTGTACCAAAGCCTTTAAAAATAAAGCCCTTCTATCCAGCTCTTTCCCTGGTGGAGGCTGTCTGGAGAAAGCTGCACAGTCGACAGGCATCCATCCACTTAAACCAAACCAAAGGCTGTGAAACGGAGGACCTGGGTGTCCAGGGATTAGTGGAGTAAAGGACTCTATTGCCTCCAAATTAGTACTGAGCAACATGCAAGGTATTATGTTAGCAAGTTTATTTTCCTGCTCAGAAAAAAAAAAAAAAAATCTATTAGATTTTGTACTTGTTGTAAAATACCTTTACAAAGTAAATAGTGAAGTTTCAGAAAAGCCAGAAAAATGAAGGTGATTGGTTTTAAATGAATTTTAGTTTGGAAGCGATTCAAAACTGTGAGGTTTAAAAAAAAAAAAAAACTGTGAGGTATTTGGGTGTTTTTGTAGAAGTTTTGCTTGCTTTTCCTCTTATTGTGGAATTTTTAGTTATTAATATTTCTTTTAACCTTGAACAGGTCAACAGCATTCACCCAGAATGCCGATTTCATCTGGAAATACAGGAGGAAGAAACAAAATGTGCAGAGCTTCTGAGGTCTCAAACAGAAAAATCCAAAGGTAAGGCAGAGAGCTTGTGAGAAAGAACTCCAATGACATTCTAACCCAGGAATATGCACACTCAGCTGTGGTTCAGGGTCACCACCTGCATCTTAAAAAAGAAAGAAAGAAAGAAAGGTCACTTCCCATTGCTTGTTACTGAACTACTGGAGCTAAAACTCGTGGAGTGTTGGATAGGTAGGGTCTTCACACACACCTTAGAAAACCTGAATCCGTAACAGTAACAGTTTCCGTGGTTTGAGATGATAGCAACAGTTACTAAAACAATTTCTTCATGGGCTTTGTTATGCTTTACAAAAGCAGCTCCAGTTTTCCAGGGTATAAGCATTTATCTGAACTCCTGCTTTTAAATTCTTAGTTATAGCACAGATGATTTTGATCTGGTCGAGGATTGTGGATACTTGGCAGAAAGCAAACAGAAAAATGAGTCTTTTGTTGTGCTGAAGATGGGCCTGTGGTGAACACTGTCTTCTCCTGTTTGACAGAGGCATGCTGCGCCATCATGCCCCAGACCCGGCCTGCTAACAACCTGTTTATAGACTCTGTGCCCTGGGATAGCACCCGGCCTATAAATAGTAGCAAAGCCTTTGTCTGTCAGCCTTCTCTGCTCTTTGTCATGATTTTCTCCTCTTCAAGAAAGAAATTAAATCTGTGTTGAAACAGTCTGGTGTCCTGAAGAGGGCCTCAGATGGTGGGCTTTATTCAAGAATAGCCCTGCCCAGCAGAAATAGAATGCAAGCCACATTACAATAAGTAAAAAGAAGCGCAAGAGATTAATTTTAATAGTATCCTTTGCTTACCTGAATAAATCTGAATCTTTAACATTTTGACATATAATCAACCTAAAATTATCAATTTTACATTCTTATTTTATGCTAAGTCTTAGAAGTCCAGTGTGCTTTTTGTGCTTACAGCACAACACAACGTGGACCCCATTTCAAGGTTCAGGAGCCACAGGCGGCCAGCGGTCTCCACGCGGGATGTGGGGCTGTAGATTGTCACTAAACAAGTGTCCCCCGCTTCCCATTCCCCTCTGAGCCACCATTTTCCAGTCTGAAATACGCGGCTCTGCCTCTAGGGCTGCTTCTGGCTTTGAAGATCTGTGATTCTGTGGTGCATGCATAGTTCTGGCCACATCTTCCACATTGTCTGGTTGAACTCTGTCCAAAGAAAGGCAAATAAAGTAACTTGGCTGAAACCACGCGGAGAGCCTCTCCTGTGAAACGCTGATGCGGCCAAGGAGATGTGGAGGGATGAGGCAGCCAGGGCACCACAGCAGAAGCAGCTGCATGGCCACGGAGGGTCGTTCTTCCCAGTGAAAAATCTGAGTTATGAAAAGTAGTCCTAAGGAGAGATGGGCTTTTAGGATTACCTGGTTCCCTGGGGGCTTGGGGGCCTGGACAGCCCTCCTCACCTCCAGGTCCCAAACTGCCCGGCTTCATGTTTTCATAAATGCAGATTTATATAAAACATTCTACTTTCTTAAAAGCTTGTAAACAATATATTTAAAAAATATATTTTGAGGGAGCCCAGAGCCGTCTGATGGCTCTCTGCATAGTAGCTGGACTGTAGCTTATCCCCAGGTTGGAGAGGCCTCCTGGGGCACCCTCACCCAAAGCCAGGTCAGCACATTTAACCTATTCACAGGGGCTTCTCCTCAGTGGGTGATCTGTGTGTGAGCCACATCGGACGCGAGGGGCCAGAGGTCCCAGGGAGTCATTCAGCCCCACACCAGCTTGAGTGGGCTCAGATGCAGGCCCAAGAGACGGGCCTTGAAGATTTGATTGGGTCATGAAGGCTCCACCCTCATAAGGGTTAATCCATCAATAGATTAGTGGGTTAATGAATTTTCATGGAAGAGCTGGTGGCTTTATAAAAAGAGGTAGAGAGATCGGGGCCAACACACTCAGGCCCCTCACTACCTGATGCCCTGCACCACCTGGGGACCCTGAAGAGTCCCCACCAGCAAGAAAGCCCTCACCATTGTGGCCACTCAACCCTGGACTTCTCCAGCCTCATAACTGTAAGAAATAAATGCCTTTTCTTTACAACTTACCCAGTTTCAGGTATGTTCTTATAAGCAACAGAGGCAAACTTAGACACTTGAGCAGATTGCAGCTCTTCCTAAAGGGAACTTGGACTTGAACCTCTTTGATGGCAAGGATTTGTAGTGTTTTCTGGGTCAATACCCAGTTCCAGTGATGCTCCAAAGGCTTCATGGCCAGGGCCTGTATGTTTGAGGGTTGCCTCATGTCATGAGATGAATGCAAATGAAACCATCTTGCTGACATTTGCTGATGCATTGGTTGATCTTTTCATTTATTTTATTTTTTTTTCTGAGATGGAGTTTCACTTGTTGCCCAGACTGGAGTGCAATGGTGTGATCGTGGCTCACTGCAACCTCCACCTCCTGGGTTCAAGTAATTCTCCTGCCTCAGCCTCACGAGTAGCTGGGATTACAGGCGCCTGCCACCACGCCTGGATAATTTTTTTTATTTTTAGTAGACACAGGGTTTTGCCATGTTGGCCAGGCTGGTTTCGAACTCCTGACCTCAGGTGATCCACCACCCTGACCTCCCAAAGTGCTGGAATTACAGGCCTGAGCAACTGCCCAGCCTTCTCTCATTTATTAACATTTTTTCAGCAGGTTTTTATGGAAGAGATACCGGATTGTAAAAAAGAACTTTCTTTTTTACGTATTATTTTTATTTTATTATTTTATTTAATTTATTTTTTAAGATGGAGTCTCAGTCTGTCACCCAAACTGGAGTACAGGGGTGCAATCTCACCTCACTGCAACCTTCGCCTCCTGGGTTCAAGCGATTCTCCTGCCTCAACCTCCCAAGTAGCTGGGATAACTGGCATGTGCTGCCATGCCCAACTAATTTTTTGTATTTTTGGTGCAGATGGGGTTTCACCATGTTGGCCAGGCTGGTCTCGAACTCCTCAAGTGATCTGCTGGCCTCAGCCTCCCAAAGTGCTGAGATTATAGGCGCAAGTCACTGCGGTCAGCCCTTTTTAAATATTAAAGACTCGCTTTTCTTAACTAATCAGACTTAAGTTATCCTAACAAAATACAAAATCATTGTTTTCTAGGCCAATTTCTTAAAATGAAAAAAAAAAAACAACTTTCGTAATTAAGAGAAGACCAATACTTAAGAAAATATTGTCCTATTAAGAGAGACAAAACAAACTTTGTGTCAGTACTTTACTAAGCTTTAAAAAAAACTTATAAACAAAATTCTAATCTTAGTAGTTTGGCCACACATAAAATTTCTTTTGTCAGACCTCCTACAGCTGTGTATACCCACTCCGTTTTTGCCTTACTCATTTTCTTCATTTTTATGCTAGAACAATCAGTCATCTTGTTTTAAGATAACATTACTCTCTTTTTTCTTAAAACACAGACCTCGCATACTTTTCCTTACTAAAAACACATCCTACTTTCTCTGTACATTTTTCATATACAGTTGTTTGCTTTCATCTTTGTTTCTAGTAGTTTTAATTGCACATGTTAATTCAAATTCTTAATCCTTAGTGACATTAATATCCACTGTAAATTAGGAAGTACATGATGTCATAGTTGTTAAATGGCAGGTGCCTCCGCAGCACAGGACATGCGTACGGGCAGACCCAGGTAGCTCCAGTTCCTCTATAATACACCAAAAATAATTAAGCTTAAACTTCTTTTTAGGAATTAGTGTTTTAGTAGTTTATTTTATTTGGACATGATCTAGATATGCAGTAAATATCATTTAACAGTATAATTTCAGAGTTTCAAGTTTTCAAAAATATTTCGGAAACTGTTTTTAAACAGACACATAATATCAAACTACCTGTCATCTCAGGTTATTTTTCTTGTTGACAAATTTTTTAGCAAGAATAATGAGCTTATTTGACTAGCTCAGCTAGGTAGAATGTTCATTTCTACTAAATCATCAATATTCTTATTTATTAAATATTACTCAAGTCATATGAACTTAAAACCATTGGGTTCCTTATTTTCTGACAAAATATTGAATTTATACAAGCACCTAATTTTCTCTAGGCCAGTAAAGCAGAGTTCTTTTAACATTATTTCTAATAATAGCATCCAGAGGTAGAATGCTATAACATGTTAATAACATGCATATATATAGATGTAATAACCAAACAGACAGATGCAGAGATTGCTGGCTTCTGTTCTCCAATTGTAGCCCTGTGCCAGGTACAATAATATAAAACTCACTGGTTGGTCCAAATTGTATTCTTGGCAGATAAAGTTACCTGTTTGGATGGCCAAAGCCTTTTGTTAATACATATGAAAAGGACTTTTAAGATTTTCCATTTGCCAGGTTTTTTTTTTACTGTTCCCATTTCTTCTCCCTTCTGATGACTCATTTCCCTGATGCTGCATTTTAAAGCTTTCAACAACTCTAAGACAGGGACAAAGGACAGTAAGTTTTCTCCAGAAAGGAGCTGTGCACAGAGGTGCATGTTGTCGGGGTCAGTCTTACTGGTACTGCAGGCTGTGTTTATGGAGTGGCCGGGAGACACCTGTCTGTTGAGGAGTCCTTCTCCCCTTCAGCCTCAGGTGGCTGCTTTTGTAACAGCTCAGGGTTGTGAGCAAGGTCAAAACCTGAGTTAGTTGTTGCAGAGGCCCCAGGCTCAGTTGAGGATTTAATTTGTAAGGACGTTGGTTTTTAGGATCTTCATATGAAAAAGGTAAGAAATCAAATATTAGTAGACTCAAAATAATATTTTGTTCAAGCGCTGTAGAGATTCCTTTAGAGAGGCTATAATTTTGGAGTCATTCTGTCGAAAATCAATCTGTATACTAATCAAAAAATGTATTGCCTGGTTTTGTAGGCACTCAGGATTCCTTTTCTTCAATGTGCCCATAGGTGAATGATTTCATCTGGAATAAACTTCCCACTGTGGCCCCTGTAACTCACAGCCATCCTCCTGAGCTGCACCCATTTCTCTAGAAAGGCACGGGCTCTGGGTCTGTAGTTTCTGAA